TGTGTGTGTGTGTGTGTGTGTGTGTGTGTGTGTGTGTGTGAAGTCAGCCCCTCATCTGATGAAAAGAACAATCCCAATAGACCATAGGTCCAGGAAGATTTGATCTTCTGACATGAATGGTCAAGCCCTAGAACCCTTCTGTTGCTCCAAGAATATGAAAACCAGGGAGATTTTTCCTTTTAATCCAAACCTTCTAAGAGTGAGTTTATCATTCATTTTTTTCAATGTTTAAGTATGGAAAATTCCTCTGTCCTAAGAGAACCTCAAAAAGTGAGCAAGCAAGCAAGCAAGCAAATGGGCAAATACTCGTTTTCAAAGTGTACCTCACAAGAATTACTTGGGGACAAAATGGAAATTGACCTTGTCCTCTGCCTCCTGACAGGTTCACATCAGAGGAAATCGAGCAGACAGACTCGGCCAGTCTGCTTCATGACCAAAGTGGGAGCGTGGTGATGCTGCAGCGCCTTGATCCAAACGATAAACTTGGATAAACCTGAGAGGACAATCACATGTGTGCCCTGCTGAAGCAGGACATTTCCTCCATTACCAATGCAGAAAATCATTCTTTTGTTATTCTAGCAGTCCCTTTTCTTGAAAAAGTCTCCCCTCATTCTGGAAGAGTTCATCCCATAGGGTCAGGCCGGCCCAGGGCTTAGCAGTGCAGAGAAAACAGCTATGCCGGAGGCTACTTCCAGCCTTAGAGTTTCCAGTCACTGAAGCTAGTCCTGGAAGAATTTTCTTGAGCTGGGTTGAGTTGGATTTTGCTGCCTACAGGTAGGAATCTCTCTTAGGATACAGAATTACTTTGTTATGGAGACTAGTTGTCTGGCCAAGGAAAAAAATAGCCTAAACACCAATTTGACAACTCTGCCAGTGAAGTACCTTTATCTGACCAAAAATGGGGGGTGGGGGGAATCAAAAGTGGAGAGAAAGAGAGACCTTAAAAATGTCCACTTCTGCCAGATGGTGGTAGCATACACCTTTAATCCCAGTACTCAGGAGGCAGAGGCAGGTGGATCTCTGTGAGTTGAGATCAGCCTGGTCTATATAGTAAGTTCCAGAACAGTCAGAGATACCTAGAAAGACCCTGCCTTGAAAAATCAAAATAATAAATAAATAACTAATAATAAATGGGTCACTTCTACTTTCTAAAGCATTATTCTAGTGTAGTACTGGAGGGAAAATCTGAAGGTAAACCATTAAGTTAGAGAACATCAATAATCAGAATTCTAGGCTTTTTTTTGGGGGGGTGGTACTGGTAAATATAATCATATTCACAGGCAATTATGGTAGTGGCTAAGAACTTTGAAAAAAAATGTCAGAGGAAGCTGAAGAGTCAGCTCAGCGGTTAATCACTTTTGCTACACTTTAAGCAGACCCAAGTTCTGTTCCCAGATCCCACATCCAGAAGCTCACATGAGCAGTTCCAAGGCACCCGATGCCCTCCTGGTCTCCAGGGGTGCTTGCACTCATTTGGCATATACAAACACATACCATACAGAAGTCAAAATTTTAAGCAATCTTTAAAAAGTGTCAAGGGGGAATGCTTTCTTATAACTCCCAGGGGCACTCAGATACAGAACTCAGCATGGGAAGGTCTGTTTATTGGAGTCTGCTACGCTGTAACCAGCTTCAGGAGAAACACAATTTCAGCTGGGAATGTGACTGCCAAACAAAGTTCCGTGCAACAAGTGAGATGAACAGCTCAGAGCACAGTTTCAAACAATTCTGTTATTACACCCACCCTGCTGGATGTCTGTCTCTATCCTATTGGTTTTATATTTGTTTGCTAAAAACAAACAACAATACGTGAACCGTCAGAAAACTAAACACTGTGCTCAAAGTCACACAGGGTGCTGCCAAGAGACTCATTTACTAAAGCCTTTCTTAGTCCAAATTCCTAAACATGTTTTTAATATTAGGTGTGTCCTTAACCCATCTGGAAGTTCTATCTTCCAAGTGTGTATACAGTCAATTATCCCAACACCCTTTACTGAACTGTTTATTTTTGCCCCTATAGGCTAGAAATGCCAATTTTAAAAAAAATCGTATTTTTTTATCCTCATGTCTAAGGGTCATTTTACACATTTTTTTTTCCAATCTAACATGCCTATTCTAGTATTAATTAATCTGATATGTTCAATTAATTAATTTGACTCGCCAATTGTTATACATAAGAAATAATGATTTAACCTTTCTTAATATTAAAACTTTATTCTTATAATTTCCACAGTTCCTAATATCCAGTAGGGTCTTCTTTTTCTTTCTGTTTTATGCCTTGGCTGTTTTGTTCTTGCTCTTTCTCCTTCCAGGGGCTGGTTTTCAAGATCGTATGAAGAGACCAATGTGCAACACGGGGAACAGAGACGGGCACACAGCCTTTGGTCTACCAGACACAGTCACTGTTTGAATGGTGAGCATCCCAAAACTGCCACCATGACCACAGCTCGGTCTCCACCTTGGCGGCTCTGAAAGGTGGCAGAACCTTCTAGAGTGAGAACCTGTCACTGGGGCTTGTCCTTGAAAGTACCCTGGCACTCTGACCCTTCCCTCTACTTCTTGTTTCTCGTTTCCTGGTCACAGGGTCAGGGGCACTGCTCCCATGCTCCCTCCATAAAGAGCTGCCTCACCACAGGTCCAAAAGCAATAGAGTCAATTGGTCATGGACTGAAACCTCCAGAACAACATAACCCTTTCCTGTTTATAAGTTGGTTTTCTCAGGTATTTGTTACAATGGTGGAAAGCTGATGGAAATGTAAACTTCATTATAATTTTTCCTCTTTAATCCATTATATGGCCAAGAAATGGCCTCTTTCCAGGCATACTAGGGTCTGGAGCTCCCCTGGTTTAGTGACTATAAAAATAAGTGGATTTTGCATTTTTTTTGTCTCTTTCTGAGACAGAAAAGGGAACTGAGAGATCCAAGTTTTCCATCTGTAGGCTTTTGACCAGCCTTGTTGCTTTCACTCCATTTGGCTCTTACTGCAGCTTTTAAGAAGGTGGCAACAGACTCCTGAGCCTTTGAGCACCTCCCCTCAGCGCCTCACCTGTTGCTGACCTTTGAACACAGGCCACTTTCTCTATTCTGCAGTGTCAGTGATCCTCATCACCCTGTCTACTTCCTAAAGCTTAAATGCTAACCTCCCCTGTCCGTGGAGGACTTCTTTCTCTTTTCAGACTTTGCAGACATAAGTTTTTCTTTCTCTGAGCTCATTCTGTTAGCATAGAAACATCTTCTGGTCAGAAGAATAGAATCTCTGGCCTGAAAAGAGACCTACCATTCCAATCAGCTGGGTCACTCAGTTGGCTAGGGGACCACACCCTAGGAAAGTGAGTGCAATGGGCAGAATAATCAGTCCTTTAATGAGATGTTGCATTTGCCTTTCCCTCACTCCTACCCCGTACTGCAATAGCTGGACAGACCACACCTGCATCACTTGTAAGTCAAGTAACACCTTCCCCTCTCTACCCTGAGCATGCTTTTTTAACGCTTTGAGTTTCCTCAGCACTTTGGGCCTTCTTCCTCTTCCTGAAAGCCTTCCACTCTTCCATGTGGCTGCTTGTAAGCCATGGGTTGAACTTCCCAGTATAAACAACCTGGCCTTTCTTCTTCTCTTCTCGATCATCTTCCTCCAGATAGCAGGAGTAGTTTACAGCTGGCCTGCCTTGATTTTCTTTTAAATGCTAATAGAATTCTATTAGAGTCTGTTTTAAAACTCCTTTACTAATGAGACTACGAACCCGAAAAAGGGGCCGTGGTTTCCCTTATTATTTCTAGCAAGGCTTCAGAAGGTGATAAAGTTCATTATATATACCCAGTCCACTGCCTTTAACCATGACCTAAATCTAATGGTTCCCAGCTATCCTAGATAGACTATCATAGAGAACTAGGGTAGGTGTTTGTTTTAAACTTGAGGTTACTCATCATTGCTTCATCTACCTGGGCTGGTGTGTTCTGTTGCTGGATCGTTAAAGCAGAGTTGTGCTAGCCTCATAAAGTACGAGGAGTGGTTCCCCTCCCCCATAACTTTTTGAATGAATGGGTTTATCTGTTTTACCAAGGTAAAGCTCAGACTAGGTGATAGAGCCCAGCTCCACCCTAGATCTGCCTAACAGAAGTAGCCTACCCCTCCCTAGTATTCATAGAAGCAAGAAGCACAGAGTGAGTCTGAGGGCATCATGGAAAGGAGTGAAGTAAGGTACAATAGCTGAAAAGAGTATCCCAGTATAAACGCTGAGAGAGGAAGTGTGGACAGACTAAAACACTAAAGGCAATCTCTAAAACTTACCTCAGTCATCCATACAAGAAATATTTGGAAAGTTAGTTTAGGTGACCTGCCTTCCAGGTACTGCCACACACAGCAGGGTCTGGACAGCCCAGCAGGTGATGTGATTCTGCATACAGAATTGGACTGCTTGGATATCACTCAGTGAAAAACAAACTAAGGAAGAACAACTACTGAAAATAGCCTGCTCTGCC